GTTACCCCTCGTGTAGAATTAATTGATTAGATCCGTATCCCTATTTAATATTTGACGAACCGCTAATGAACAGAATGTGCAGTGAACTTTGAAATGCTGTTTATCTGACCTAGTTAGTTGTCGTACTGATTGTACTTTTCATTTCCTTATCGTCGTAGAGGTTGTAGTTAAAATATATTTAGTAATTCATTGCATTATTATAAATACATGTCTCTATAAATAAATATACTATATCTATATAATTCGAAAATGCCTACTTTCAAAGATACAGGGTGTTTTATAAACTTAATTAAATGTAAATAATAATAATGATAATACTATTCTAATATCTTAAGTGTTTCTAACCCCACAAATGATTACTTGCTTTTTCTAATGATGGCGTTTTTCAAATGGAATTAATAAATATTAAGAGAACAAAATCATATATAAAGCACAAATATATAGGCTCTAATTTTATTGCAAAAACATTCAAAGATAAAAATTGTATTTAAAAAAAATATAAAAAATCTAGGCAATATTAGTAAAACCATCTACAACGTATTCGATGAAAACTAAAGCCCAACTAAAAATAATAAGATCAATAATAGGACCACAGAAAATAAGTGCAAGAGTTGTTTAATCGATTAGTATTAGATGGTATGAATACGAAACATGACTAAAGGAACCCAGTCTACTCAAGAGCAGAATAGTAAGCAGATGGAAAAACTAAATGGAAGGAACGAATCAAAGAATTGAAAGTAGAACAGTAGAGAAAATAAATAATGAACAGAAAATAATAAAGAAAAATAGTACACCAAGCAAAAACTCACAAGTGCTGTGAGAGAGCAGCAATGACTGATCCTTTCCAACTGCAATAACTCAAAACTTAACATGTTCCCCTTTGGTGCAAGCACCTTATGATAAGTGAACATGCCACATTTTTATCAATTCTTCTCCAGTTACATAACTCGTAAACGATAATTTTATTGTAAAATCTGTTTCCGCAGTAGGTACTTATAAACTTCTTCCTACAATTTATCACTCACAAGTCTTATATAAAACGTTGCGTAACCGTGAAATATGTTAAATGCACAATGCGAACACTAGAAAGTTCATTACTCGGTGAATTCTACTTTCCCCGTTTGCGCGTTGCGTAACTTTACACGCCCAGTCAAAATTTCCATAAAACGCTAATGATGATTGCGTATGACATTTTTAGGGTGCCTATTTTTAAAATTCAAGCTCGAGGTTAGGTTATTGGCCTTGTTGGTTCCAAATGTCGCGATATATTGGGCGCGCGTTCTGAAAAACACTTAGCAGTATTTCCGTATGGGCCGTGTACTGCTTGCCATCTTTTCTCGGATCGGTCGTACAGAATTTTTCACGGAACTAGGATATCTGACGAATGTTGTTTCCTGGATCAGAAAGCGTTCACTTCATAAATTCAGTATTTTATCGAAATATAATTTTGAAATAACTAAAAAAATAAAATTGGATAGTACAATAGCAGGTACTAGTTTATTGTAGTTTTCTGATTTTACGTCACTTCTATTAAACTTCCAATACTGAATCCAAAATTTGTTTGTTTGCCAGCTACATTTATAACATCTATTTCAAATAACAACGTTTTTTAACGTGTGTGTTTGAAAATCGCAAAAGAAATATTATTTTAAACAATTATTTAATATTATTTTTTGTGTTAGTATTAGCATTGGCAAAATATTATATTTAACAATGTTTTAAACAAACGAATTCTGATCAAACAATTTTATTTTATATACAACACTATTGGTAGTGGCGCATTCGCCATTTTCTTCAATTTAAAGGAAGGTACGTTGTAGATATTATATATCTTTTAAATGGTTGTTTGTACACAAAGTTAATCTATTTTCTCGAATAAGACTACAAATAAATATAAATTACCTATACCAGAATAGCGTATAATATTGTCCCAGATGAGACGCTGCTCCTGAAATCAGAATAAGTCTAAAAATTCCATACACAAAAGTCATCATCTACTGGGTGTATTATACCTGTATTTCATGAATACGTATACAAAGTATTCTTGTTTTGAGAATTTCCTACGCCATTTACTATACCCACTAATTAGCTAATGACTATCTAATTTGCCTTTTTTCACGCAATTCTTTTTCTATAATTTTGATTAATTTTTAGTAAAGGCTTGTTCTTCAAAATATCAAATTTGAACCAAGTATTTTTTGTCACTTTGTATTATTAAGACAATCTATTTCAGTTTTATAACACAATATTTCTTCTGTGAAATTATGAGTATTATTATTATCACTATTATTATTGTTATTACATACATGCAAACATTGATTCAATCACTTTATAGACAGCACATGTTGAATTCTCAATAATTATAAAATATGTTGTAGCACTATTTTAAGATAGTTTACAAGTTCATTTTGTTGTATGCATTTATTTAGTAAATCTTGAAAGAAATAAACAAATGTCAACGTCTTTTCCTAACATTTGCGCATTCGCCATTTATTTAATTAATTCGGTATTTAAGTAACTGATTACCTGTTAAATAATTACAGTAGCAATTACAATTTGGAAAACTTTCATTTTTATAAAAATTCTAAAACTCATCGATCCTTGTCATTTTTGTTTTTGCAAATAGAGGATGATGAAGAAAATATGACGTTATAAACAATACATATTCTTGTTAAAAATTAAGAAATTTGTTATCTAGATCTTCCAGTATTTTCATATGTACGTATTTCACGTTAACAAGATAAGATATTTATTAAAGAAAAACTGTCGAGGAAGATTTCTTGATTTTTTAAGTTAAATAAGTTCAAAGGAAAAGGACAAATAGGCAGGCAAAGCTTCTTGAAAACGGTATAAAGAAGACCACATTTTATTTAAAAAAGTCGTTAATGAAATCACTACAGAAAGTGGACAAATTAAAAATGCAAATCGATGTGTCCGAGTGTTACATTTTATCTAATATATATGTTACTTTGTATAAAACAACGGCAAGTAAAAATGTGGGTATGTAATTTTAGAAGAATAATAATTATTTATTTTAATATTTTGAAGTGAAAGGTGAAAATAACACAGGCACACAAAAAAAATTCATGAACCAGAGGGTAGACCCCACTATTCTTAGGTTTTTGGGGTCGCAAGCACCCCCTGAAGGGGGTTAAATTTTAAATTTTCGTACAAAATTAAGATGTAGCTATGCGTATTTCTATGATTTTTGGGACGCTGCAACCGAAAATGACTACAAAAAATGATATCCACTTTCTCAATTACCCCCTTACACTAGTTGGCTCTCGGCAAATTGCGCTAACGTTTTCGGAGAAAAGAGGAGAACCAAAGTGTTCATGGGCTCAACGCTCAAAATTCCAACGATCCAAAGTCAATTACCTGATAATTAGACAAGTTTAAGAGTACCTCCAGCTCTTATGTTGTAAACGTCAATACTTCACCGATCAGAAATATCAACTCTTATATGTGTTTATGATTTGGTTCAAGTCCTAGCGCAACCCAGGAATAACGGCGTGGAAGTGATAGGTTTCTGTTTCCTTTGGGGTGCTTGATTAACGTGAGTGCCCTTATCCCTCACAATTCGGGGTGCTTGATTAACGTGAGGCCCCTTGCCTCTCACGATTCGAGGTGCTTGATTAACGTGAGTCTCCTTGCCTCTCACAATTCAGAATGCTTGATTAACGTGCGTCCCCTTGCCTCTCCCAATTAGGGGTGCTTGATTAACGTGAGTCCCCTTGCCTCTCACGAATCGGGGTGTTTGATTAACGTGAGTCCGCTTGCCTCTCCCAATTAGGGGTGCTTGATTAACGTGAGTCCCCTTGCCTCTCAAGATTCGACATTCACCTCTTTCTATGATACTAACTCGTTTGCTTTCAAACGGTCTTCTAAGCCAGTGAAACTGTTATCCGCCTTCACCGCGTGGAGGTGTCTTAGTCGTAAAAGTAGATACGGAATCAATTCTATTCCGAGGCATAAAATTAGACTGGTCGGTGAAGAACAAAAACATTAAAATCAAAGAGAAAACAAAATGCAAATGGAACGTAAATTAAAATATCTTGTCTAGAATAATTTGTCAAGTTGAAAATATCAAAAGGCAAAAAAAATAAACATACGTCTTAATTTTGTACAAAAGTTTAAAATTTAACCCCCTTCAGGAGGTGCTAGCGAGAAAATGGGCAATTGAAATAATTTTTTATCGATCATATTCGGTTTCAGCGACCCCAAAAATCTAAGAATAGTGGGGTCTACCCTCCAGTTAATGTATTTTTTTTTGTTTGTCTGTGCCTGTGTAATTAATGACCATCCAAAAGAATCACTGAAGAATTGGTTCTTTTTAAAAATATTTTTTGTTAATGAATAAACCACAAAGAGAAAAAGAGGCAGATAAGTTCAGTTTCTTGTACCATCCGTTAACGTTGCGAAATTTTTTTCAGTCTTCATCTTCCAAAAAAGTTTTATTCGACAAATTTTATGAAACTTTTATAGAACATTTTTTACAAAACAAAAATGTGATTTAATGATTTCTGTGGATCTCAAGAGTTTATCTACATTTTCATTACTAGATTTCTTGTTGAGATAAGACAAAAATAATTTAAAAAAGCGGCTACTTGAATGATTCTTTTCAATATGAGATTGATTACTTTTTTCATATTTTTTCGTTTTCAATATGACGAAATACTCAGTTGAGCCAACAACTAGATACTGAACAATGCCACAAAAATAACATTATGAAGCTTTATCTTATCTTCACTATTTCACCCCATTTTAGGAGATATTTTAATAAAAAAATGTCCTGATAAATTGGTTTTTGGGATAGGATTGGAACCCTTTCTCTTGTGGGGCTGTGTAATTCAGACAATATTTTTTTCCTAAGATATTTTGCATCTTACCTGCTAGCACAAATATTTGGGGATGTTTCGCTAATATATAGGTATATACGGTGGTTTTACAGCTACTTGTTCTAATATTTACAGGTGTATTTATTATTTATTTATTTTCAGATACAGTCTGCGGCATCTCTACTCTTAGAAAGCAAGATGTTCTACGTTCCTTTCCTACTCAATTCAGCTATTCAAAGGTAGTAGAGAAAACCAGAAGCAAAATAGGTGAATTTGAAAATAAATATTTATAAAAGATTCTAGAGAATGTATATAATCGATACATATACATAGAGTGGTCGTTATAAAATTTAAAGTACATATTATTTGTTATAATCATATTTGGTTAGGATATCATGTTGTTTATCTAAAATAACTTAACACGTACCGACGAAAATGTGTTATGTGGAAAATTATATACTGAGAGTACACGGAATGTCATGACTAAAAAAAATCTACTCGAGGATTTTAAGCACGATACTGTGTGCGGAAAACCGCTACATAAGTCTGAGTAAGTTGCCTTCTATTTGTAGTAAAGGGTGGTATTATAATTTACTTACATTTGACCCGTAACGCATCTAGACCTCTCACATCACATATATAGTTTATGTTTCCATTTCCCGAGAACTGAAATTGGAAAATTGTCGATCGGTCATTGTTACCATTTTTTAAATCTTACCCTCGATCCTTGATCTCAATGTAATTAATAGCTGCCTGAAAATATTAACAAAAGTTGCATTACTTAAAGTCTGAACAAGAAATACTGCCATTATCCACCGATATAGAGTAGTTTTTTTTATTAATATGATTTACCACTGCCAATATTACCAACTGCATCCATTCCCTTGACTACCCAGGAAACGCATTACCAAATTTCGTAACTCTCTTAGGAAAAATACATACACCACGTTTTGCACTGAAATACATTCATCGTGGTTGGTTCATATTTATTCTACAGTATTCTATGTTTTTTCCACACTCACCAGTCTAATAATTCGGAATGAAAAATTATCGTTATATTTTACTTAAATTTTCTTGTAGTATTAAATTTTACACACAATTTTCACAATTGTTTTTATATACAATCTACACCCATCAGTATATTAATAATTTTGCTCAAAAGTGGTTAACCCTTATGCGAGACTAAAATCACCAATTATTTATATCACTATGACATGCATTAATATTGTTAAGGGTTAAGGTACTGAACGTAAACAATTTTTTTAAGCCGACAAAACACTCAATATACCAACAAACATTATTTATAGTTTATTTTTCGTTAAAACGACTTTTAAATAGAACTATATCTTTGCTGTTAGTTTGTTGTTAATTTTGCTCACTTGTTTTTAATCTCAAACTCAGGTGTTTTACTACATTGAATTTTTTTTTTACAGTGTGCTTGTATTAATTTTTTTCTTATTCAAATTTCATTAATGTAATTATATTAAATAAACTTTATGTAAATCATTCAAGATTTAGTTCCTGCTAATGTTAATATTTCAACAGTATTTTGCGAGATCTGTAGTACAGAAAAATTATTGAATTATTTTTGGCAAAGTTTTGAACGAAAGTTCATAGTCTCTTTAATTATCAAGAATGTTACAGGTAACAAAAAAATGTTATGAATTAAACTTAACTGTAAAGGAGCATATCTAAACCAGGTACGTACTCTGAAATATCTATAGGTATTTAGTATACATTACTTGAACACTGTATAGACATGTATTCATCTGACAAGCGCTAGCACATTTTATTTATACATTTTTTAACTAAATGTAAGTTCATTTTATTCTTCTTTCCTTCAGTATCTTCTATTCTCTCCTCTTTTTCACGAATCACAAATACTTATAAATTCAATTAGACTCATCTATTTGATTTTCACTCATTTCACTTGATATCATATTCTATTCTGCTTGATCTTAAACCAATTTATTTATATTTCATCACATAAATTACTATTTTTCATCGTTCATTGCAGTTTTCTTCTACCAACGCATGCTTAGATCTACAAATAATCCACCTATGTTTTGAATTCTTTTTTTAGTACACCTTCTAAATTAATTTAATTTCATCTTCCACGCACACTTTTTGGTCTACAAATGAAATCATTTACTAATATTAACCGTTCCCTAATCTCCTTTTAATTCTTTTCATTCCTACATTTTTCATTTTCTGTTCATTTCTTCCGGCAACATTTGTTTAAATGTCATTTATTGCCTACAAATAATTCTTAGTCTCTTTTTCCAGGTTAAGGCATCAAAATGCTAGTTTCCTTCTATAATACACGTTTTAAATCTATCCAACTTACTCGTTACATTTACATGTCTGTTGTTTTCACTAACAATTTTGATTTTAATCTTCTTTAACAATTATTGTAATCGAAATATTAACCAAGTGAAATAATTCGCTTGGCCGTAAACTTTATTTATATTCGATTACATAATACAGGTATGCTCAAATGTCATAAATTAATCTACAAATATTTCATCCATATTTTAAAGTCCTGTTTAGTATTGCACTTAAAAATTTTCATTTTCATCTTTCATAGAAATCCTTCCATCTAATTTCATTTTTTAAAAGAACTAAATCACGTTTTCGCTAACAATTTTCATTTTAATCTCTTTCAAATCATTTCACTTTTTCAAGTTTTAAATCTTTCATAAGGTATATGAGGTCATATTTACCTTCGTTCTATCGCACGCATTCACATATTATTACACTTGTTATCTTCCATTGCATTTTTCTTCTACCGGCGCATGCTTAGGTATCATAGTATTACTTAAGTAAATCAACATGGGCGTAGGTAGGGGGGGGGGCAGGGATGTGCACGGCCCACCCCAGAAAGCTCAGCCCAGAAAAAAAGATCTGATAATATCATCTTTTCCATATCGGTAAATGGACTGCGCCACCTTTTTTAGAATTAAATGAAAGAGTGCTTAGGATTTGAAATATTATATCTGTAAGTCGTTGATTGCGTGTTAGCAGAAGCCCTCAGCCCATCCCAAGCAAAAATTCTAACTACGCCCATGTAAATCAACAAATAATTCATCTATATTTTAAAGTAATTTTCTAAGACTTCAAAAATTTCTCTTTCCTTCTTTCATACACTTCTATGACGCTATTTAAATTGTATTTTCTTTGATTTTTCATTTCATTTAAACATAAAAAGCTAACTTTCGTTTTCCCTAATAGTTTCTGTTTTAATCTCTTAATTTTAATATATATAATTTTTTCAGATTTTACACATTTCATATCACAAAAATAGACTAAAAATTTTATATTATCACCACCCACTGTAACCACAAAATTAACTAAGTAAAAGACTTGCCTAATCTTAAATCTATTTGGCACATTGAATTGCATATATTGTCTCTGCATTTTTCATCTTCCCACGCAACTTCTCATTTCCTCATTCATTTGTTTCATTGTAGTTTTCTTCTAACTTATTATTTTAACAATCCTACAAATAATTCAATCATATTTTATTGCTTAAGTAAGTAGAAGACTTACCTAAATCCTCAACCTATTTAATTATGTTTCATCTTCAACTACAGTTTAGTTATATCAAAAAATGCTTAGATGTCATAATTTCCTATTTAAATAGATCTACAAATAATGCGTTCATATTTGAATGCCTTTTTTAGGATAAGACTTCAAAATTTTCATTCATACACTTTTATATATATTCATTGTACATACCTTCACTATATTTTCATTTCATTTAAACATAAAAAGTAACTGTCATTTTTACTAACAGTTTTCATTTTATATTCTCTAATACATTTATTTTTTCAAACTTTACTTCTTTCATATCGCAAAAGCAAAAGCAATTTACAATATTACCACTCATTGTAACAATATTAACTCATTAGGTGATTTGCTTGACGCCTATATTTAATTATGTTCGATGATATTTATTTACTTTTGTAGCTTTATTCTATCGAAGTGCGCATTTCTTATAAATAAATCTGCAAATAATTCACCTACATTTTAAAGTTTTTTTTATTGCTTGTTTTATGTACATTTGCTTCTAATCTAAATTTCACCTTCTCTCCACTCATCTTTTCACCTCATTGAAATGCAAAACGAAAATCGTTTCAATGTACATATTTTAAGACTTTTCATTTTTTCAAGCCTTACATCTTTTGTATCGTAAAAACAGTGGACTGAACAATAAGTATTTTACAATAGTATGTTCGCTACTCATTTTAACAAAATTATTTCAGAAATAAAAGACTAGCTTGATCTTATATCTAATTAATTGCATTCGATCACGTATTAACTAGGTACAATAGTTTTCATCATGCAGTGTACTTATACTACCCTATGCTTAAATCTCATAATCTACTTAAATTAATCTAAAAATAATTCATCCGTTGTTTTAAATTTCGTTTTTGGGATAAGATTCAAAAGTTTCATTTCGTTTCTTTCATACACATTTTCATTTGTTTAATTTGCCCTTCACTGATATTTTTATTTCATTTAAACACCAAAAAAATACTAACTTTCATTTTCATTAACAATTTTCATTTTAATTCATTTCATTTTTCTTCAAGCTTACTGTGGCAAAGACAATAAACTACCATTCTACAACAATATATCCTCAAGTCATTGTAATAAAATATTTACTAAGTAAAAAAATTCAACTGGTTCCATTACGTGTATTTTACTTCTGCATTTTCATCTCCCATTGAAGTTTTCTCTTACCAATGCATGCTTAGAAATTTCATTCATGTTTTAGAGCATGTTTTTGGGATAACCTCTTCTTGATCTATTCATATACTTTTTTTTAAATCCGCATTAAAGAAAATCATCACTCATTCGGCCAATAAGACTCCCTTGATCTTAAACCTATTGCTATTTCCTTTCTATATTTACTTAGTTTTTAATTTATCTTCATTATTACTTGATGTATCTAGTTATTACTATTTCCTTCAGCTATAATTGTTATAATTACTATTATATTTCTCACCTTTAACCGTTTTTGTTTTTTTTATGTACAAAATCCAATCTTTCTTTTATTTTGAAATAGCATCTACTTTTTTCTGGTTTATTTGTTTTTATATTTCATTATTAGCTCTCATACTTTATTTATAATAAAGCTAATTCAAATAAATACAGGACAAATGTTTCCTAAAAAGCCCATCAAGTGGAGTCAAGTAACGTTTTTCGATACCAAAAATTTAACATACAAAAGATATTTA